GGGGGGGTTCCCCGACAGCGCTGTTAGGAGATGAAGTGAGTCTGGGGGGTGATTTGTTCCAGCTTGTGGTCAGCTGGGTTCGCTGCTGCTTCGTAATTGCAGATGGTGACTTCATGGCGATGAGCCTGAGTTAAGATAAAGTGCATTAGGGCAGAGGAGAGCAGAAGCCAAGCACCCCCCCTGAAACAACTGACTGGCAAGAGCTGAGCAGGTTCCAGTCCTACAGAATTCTCATCACAGACCCCTCCACTGCTCCACACCCACCACTCCAACTTCTTCCTCACCGCTGGAGCTCCACTTACACTAAGATTTAAAGCCTGTTTCACACTGGTAGCACAGCCTCGCTCACCTCTGCTCCCACCTACCTCTGTCCACTCCCCTTTCAGGCCTATGTAAAAAATCTTCGTTGTCTCTGCCCCAAAGTTCTTTGGAAAGTGGATGGAGAGGTGGTAAACGTTGGAGAAACGGGCGATCCTGAAAGGAAACACACTCTGGAAGCAGAGCTGCCTGCACAAGCTGGGCTGTCACCTCTCAGCACAGTGCCAGAGCTCCTCCAGCTGCAAGCTCCAGGTCATACACAGGAGCAAATGACCAGGGTCAAGAGCAGCAGTTTCCCTCCCACTCATGACACTGTTTTGACTCGGCACTGGGGAGGCCACAGCTTGAGGACTGGGGCCAGTTTTGGGCACCACAGGATAAGAAGGACCTTGAGGGGCTGGAGCAGGTCCAGAGAAGGGCAGTGAAGCTGGTGAGGGGCTTGGGGAACATGATTGTGAGGAGCAGCTGAGGGACCTGGGGGGGTTTAGTCTGGAGAAGAGGCTGAGGGGAGACATTGCTCTCTGTGACTCCCTGACAGGAGGTTGGAGTGAGGTGGGGTTGGTCTCTTCCCCCAAGTAAGAACAGGCAGGACAAGAGGCAATGGGGTTAAGTTGCAGCAGGGAGGGTTTTGATGGGATATCAGGAAGAATTTCTCTCCTGACACTGGAGATGCCTTGGCCCAGGCTGCCCAGGGAGGTGGTGGAGTCACCACAAAAAGGTGTGGATGTGGCACCTGGGGACATGGTCGTGTTGGGCTTGCTAATCTTAGGGGTCTTTTCCAACCTTAATGATTCTACAATTCTGTGGCACCAGATCATTCTGCACCCCAAAAAAGTGCCAGGCTGTAGGCACAGGCACCTCCCTGGCTGTAGGGAGGAGGTTTTCAAAAGAGCTCCCACGTGACAGGGGCAGGACAGAGCTGAGGAGGCAAATCCTACCAGAGGCAGCTCTGAGCCAAGGGACAGGGGTGCCCTCTGCCAGCACCCCCCAAAGGCTGCAGCACAGCAGTGGGTGGGGCAGCACAGAGCCCCCGTGCCCCCCGGGCAGTGCCATACTTGGT